AAAATTTTTCAAAAATTGCAGATTGGCGTTCCACTGCAGCAGTTAATTTGTTTGTGGCATCCACCTGCAGCATTGATGCTTCTGCCATTTTTTTTGCAGCCTCAGCCTGCACTTTAGCGGCTTCTGCTTGGACTTTGGCAGATTCAGCCACTGTCTCTTGGAAGGTGCGCTTCCTATTAGTGGAACGTAACGTGTGCGTTGGTGTAGGACGGGTTGTCTGTGTAGTGGGAGTCACTACTCCCACTGGTGGTGGTTGGTTGTGCCTTATAGGAGATTGAAGGGTGGTTGTTTGTTGTCTTCGTTGGTCAAGTGTTGGCGATTCAGTCACAAGTAAAGGAGGCATTTCCTCCAACGACGAATGTCTTGACATGTTAGAGGTCGCCGTCGAAGGAATGCCGAAAACTCTGCCGCTCGGGGCTGCTGACCTTGAAATAAAACCAGGCTGTCTATGGCCTGCTCCATTTCGGAAAGCGGAGAGTGACGGAATGGGCCACCACCGGTAGCATTAAGGCTTGGTGTGTTTTCGGCAATCTTCTTTTTTGTCCGGCTTTTCAAGTCAGCCCATATCTTGAAAAATAAAAATAAAATAAAATTCAATGTCAGTAAAATGGAAATAGTGCGCAAGCATTTATCTACCACATACAATTTATGCACTTATGCTTACTTTCTTCCATTCGACGGCCGTTCTTGTAGGTTAATTTTCCTCATAATTTCCTCCCACCGCTCCTCTACCCTTCCTCGATCAGATCCAAACACTGCAACACCTCTGGCCAGGTCAGGATTTCTCTCCATTTCTTTTACCAGTACTTCAAATTGAGTGGTTGTAGTTTTTGTCAGCGCTACAAGCATACATATTAATATATTTCCTTAAACCAAGTTATATTTTTTTTATTTTCTTACTTTTCCTGGCAGAACCCTCCATCTTAACGATCACTAATAACCTTTCGTCTGTTTTCAACGATTTTCGTCTCACTTTCGTCTTCTATTCGCCTTAAAAAATTCCAAACTAGACGAAAACTACGTAACGATCAGCTGTTTTCGTGCTGCCAGACGATTTCGACTTACATACTACCAACACACGAACGAAACGTCTGGCAGACGAAACGAACGTTCGCTTCGAGATACATGATTAGGCTGTTCGTTACCAATACTTCCTTTTCGGTACCAGATAACGATTCTTTACATTAAACCTTCGCCATTATATGAATTTCAATTTTAGAAAAAGCTTTAATTACTAATTTATATCATATCAGCTAAAACACTTGAACTTATCGCAACAGAGAAATATTACTTTATCAGTTTTAATCTTAGTTGATCCAAGGTTCAAGAAAAATGCTTTTACGGATGAAGAAGCCTTTCAGGGGGGAGATTCTGTAACCAGTTAGCGACAAGTTTCTTGTTTCACTTGTTGACGTAAAAATATTTCATATCATACGTCAACACAACCGATGCCGATTCGAAAATTGTCGCTAACTGGTTACAGAATCTGCCCCCAGGCCTTCAAAAATGATATCGTCCGATTCAGCTGGAACAAAAATGCTTGAAACAAGTAAGAGTTTCTCTGCATTACTGCCTCGAACCGACATACATACAATATACAATATATACATCTTTCATTTGAATCCGTATGAAAAGCTCTATTGGCTCCTACATTCGGGTTTTTATAGGCGAGTCTCGCCTGAACCGTTTTTTCCATATTTTTGGCCTATGTGCGCTTTTATTCGAAACCTAAATGTTTCGGTACCGAATATCGATCAATACTTAAAAGTATTGACTCAGCACATCACTAGAAACAGGCAACATGTAAACACAAAACAGCTGATATGCACTTTGACGCCATGAACGAAAGACACAAGATCACGTAAGAACAAGAGAGTGAAAAAAGTCGATTTTTTTAGCGGGTTCTACGCCATCTTGTTTCACTGGAAAACGAGCGAAAAGTAAACAAAGCAAAGAAAACAACGAAAACCAAAATTAGCCAAAATTATTGTCAGCCACTTTAAACGCACAATTTAGGTAAAATGATGCAACACAATGCTTTAAAATGTGTTGTCATGTTGAATTAACTCTTCTTTACTTGAATTAAAGTGTAAAATAGTGGTGCTTGTGATGTAAACAAACGCTCAGCTGACGAACCCGCTTTCGCAAACTTTTTTCTCAAAACCAGTTACAAATACAACGTCGCGTTCTTACGTGATCTTGTATTTTTGGTTCATGCTTTGACGCTTTGTCAGTTTTTACCCGGAGAAAATGTCCGGGCTGTTTGGGGCAGGAAAAAGAAGACACTTACGATCCAATACGTTCCAATTTTCGCTCTCTATTACCCATTTTGTTGAGTACGGAAATGATTTCTGGGCTATTTTGGGCACCCTCGGGATCCCGCGTTGCGTACGGGAAAGACCCTAATGGGCTGTTTTTGCTTACGCGTAAAAGCACATTTAGCGCATTTAGCTCTAAATGCTACTCTAAATGTACATTTATCCATACAAAATTCGTCACCTAAATGCAACTCCATTTTTGCATTAAGAATCTAAATGCTAAAAGCAACCCTGTGATCTTCCAAAATTTCCACGATTCGAACATGGTTTAATGAGAAAAACTGGCAACATTGCTTTTTCGAGTATACAGTCGCTAGCTGCGTTTCAGTGATCGTCGATCGAGATTTCATTTATTATTTTACATTATTTGGATAAAGAAAAGTTACGCAAATTCAACATCGATATGATGCTGATAGAAATCTGGATTAATTTGTGATCAACTCTGTTTGTTTTGTTTCCTACTTAAGTGTGGAAATTATAATTGACAGCACCGACAAATGAATATATACACAAACAAATGTTCGGTTATGGTTAAAACAATTCAAGCTTTTGTATAGAATTTTCGGTTTAGAATTTATTTTTTCCTTTTCAGTATGGGTTTTTGCACATTATCTTTTTCGTAAGAATTTATCGTAATAGATAATAGCATACGATTTCGAACTCGCGTAAATGTACATTTGCTAAATGCGATAGCATGACCGCTCTTCGAAAACATATATCCGAAAATGCTAAATGTTGCATTTTAAATGCAGCAAAAACGCTGCATAACATTGTGCATATATACAAGTGACAAATGTTCTTCTTCTGCCTGGAAACCGCCGGGAAAATACATAGAAATAGCCTGTCAAAACAAAATTGAAACTATCGATACTATCGATAGTGCCATCGATAGTTTGACAACTCTAGTACGTTTAACTATTTGTGCAACAATACAATCTTCTGACGAAGTGAAAGTTTATGGATAGAGCTGCAAAATGACAGACAATTCATTTGTTGCAGAAACATCAAATGATAGGAGCAAATCTTCGAACGATTTAAACAGATATACTGATGCAGGTTGTGTGGATAATGAATATTGGACTCGTTTTTCGCAGTGGATCCACTGCATGTGTGTGGTAACATTTGATTTGAACATTGGACAAGCTCTTGAATACGTTTATCCACCACAATTTATGCCCACAGAAACTGAAACAGCTAATATATGTTATATGGCCTTTCCCGATTCCAATTCTGGGTGTATGGGCGATACAAAGTTCCACATGCGTCTTCGAAGAGCTTCCAAACATAGCCGTAATAAAACTTTGTCAAGGATATTCCATTCATATAACTCTGATTGTATATCCGTTCTTCGTGTAGATGAATCACATTTCTGGGGATTTGTGTACTTTCGGCAGAAACGCGATCCTAATCTGCCGCGTGGTTATTTTCAAAAAAGCTTTATCATAGTCACACATCTTCCATTTTGTAATCTTTTTTACGATATTGTCGCGCAATTGGCTCCGAAGTATTTTGAGGAGGGCAACTCAGTGCTGGAACAAGCATGTCTTCAAATAAATAGCTTGTGGCCCCAGTTACAACCAGGAGTTTCCTTGGAGTTACAATTGTTTGATATCATATATCAAATAAATTTACCTACAATAAGTGGCAAAAGGTCTACCCCTCCTCTGTTAAAAAAAGACGCCATAAAGGATACTTCGATCACTCTGTTTTCAACTAAATTTTTAAGCTCTGTTTATGAGTTCGAGCTATTTCAAAGCTTAAGCTTTACTGTGGAGAGCTTATATACTTTATGGGAATTAGTGCTGATTGCTGAACCTATTATTGTTGTTGGCACCTCACCCGCTGATTGTTCACACATGGTGCAAACTCTTGTATCACTTATCGTTCCGATTGAGTACTGTGCTGAAGTGCGGCCATATTTTACTATACATGATAGTGAGTTCAAAGAGTTTACAAGAGAATATGGAAAAACGCCTCCTCCGGTAATTCTAGGCGTAACAAATCCGTTTTTTCATAAAGCTATTCAAAGATTGGCCCCACATGCTGCGTCTGGTCGATAACCAGGTAAATATTTCACTTTCCTTATGTGCATATGTATCAGAGGTGGAGGCATTTCACCACGTCTGTCAAGTTAGCACTACACTTTTCGAAATTGGAGAAGTTAACTATGGCATTAATTGTAGCTTTATTGTAAATTTGTTGTGGAAAGAAAAAAATTTTTGCTCTTCTTTTTTTTTTTAAATGTGGTATGTAGCATGATAAAAACATTACAAGGTAAATTCATTCTCTCATTTCGTCGGCCATGATTTTTTTCTGACGTTTGCCAACATTTTAAAATCATATAAAATTGAAAATAAAAAAATTAAATTGTTCACAATTGTTGTTGTTTGAGATTGAAAATGAGAATGTGTGTGTGAGTTTGAGTTTTGATTTTAAAATTATATTGTTGGCAAA